AAATATAAAAAACTTTCCACTGTTTCCTAAAAACTGATAGTTGTTGTAATAAACAGGGATAATTGTATATTCAGTGGTTAGAATAGAACGTTGCATGTATGAGTATCTCAAAATAAAACACACTGGGCGTGTTCATAATGAAGTAAGGGGCGGATCTGACTGTGAAATGTAGGCTCAGATTCTGGGTTATTCGCCTCTCTGAATCTTACAATGATCAAAATTTACAAAACGGACTTTATGGTTTATTGAGTTCACCGCAGCGCACAGATTGGGATTAATGACCGGGTTTTATGCTCGATGCTGTTCCAGATGCAACCCTCGCATTTATCCAGGTTTGGAGCATTAGGAGTACACCTCAAACTGCAACACTACACCACACCACCACTGTTTTATACAGTATGAAATGAGTGACTGAGCCCATAAACTCAGCGGGATAGTGCTTGCAGATTTTTTATTTTTATTTTTAGCCACCACAGGTGTCTCCCCCTGGTGGCCATTAAAGAGAATGGAGGTTTAAGACAGACAACATGGGGGCGCCTACGTCCATATTTATACTGTCTATAGTCAAGAATTAATGGTGCAGGGGACAGAGGGGAAGGATATTCTTACTTTTCTATTAGATTAAGTCACCTAAGTAATGCTCGGTCATGAGGGGATACACTAACAGAAGGAAGCTCATACCAGCTTTAGTTCTGTCTGAGGCTGTGGAGCAACTAAACGTAGGGTGGTGGTGTCTTTAGCACTTAGATGTAGATTTGCTGAATGTAAAAAACGTTACTGCACCTCACTGGGTACTAATGCCTGTGAGATCCATGGAGATTTCATGAACGAATGAATGAATAAAGTCAGAGATGATAACAGAACAACCAAAGCCAGAAGAGGTGAACAAAAACCATGCCAGGGCAAAGTGTCGAGGACAACAACTCTATGGAACAGAAGAATTCAGCATAATAGCCTTTGGCTACACAGATAAAATGTGATATCAGCTCACGGCTCATTTTAATCTTTTCATGGGATTTAATGACAGCTCAAAATAAAGAGTATCACCACACTTATCCTTTAAACCCTTGTTAAATGTGAATCGTCATTCAGCGAATTTAAGCCACACTCATCAGTATGGGAAACATCTGCTATGACCTTCCCAAACTGGAGCAAATATATCTCACACACATGCACATATATCAGATGTGTCAGAATCCCTTTATTCACCTCATTAATTTAGTTGCTTGTACTTAATACGCTTCTAAAAACACTTGGACGGACACACACACACACACACACACACACACACACACACACACACACACACACACACGCACGCACGCACGCATACGCCGTGTTCTCTTTCACATCATGCACATTCCCTATCTTTCTCACATGCAGGTCTATTATCACATTTGGTTGGTAATCATCCAATCCATAAGAGATATGCAAAGCAGCAGTAATTGTGTTAGAGCCTAATTCGAGGCGCGATGAGGAGAGAGAGGCTCTTCTAACAGACATTAGGCATGCAGAGCACAGTTCCCATCAAGCGCTTCACTCCTATCTGCTCATCATTACACATACAATCTCCCTGACATCTCTAAAATGTCTCTGCGGGACTCGCTCCACGCTAACTATGGCTCTGCCTCTTTTTCAGTGCCCTTTATTCTGTCTCTCTTGTTTTTTTCCAACCCAGCTTTTGTCTATTCTGTTATCCCTGCTCTCCATCACCTTCTCTTCTCCCTCAGATTTTTCGTTCTGAATGCAGCCTCCTCTCTCGTGTCCTCACTTTACATTTCACTCTGCTTCATTCTGGCTTTCCTAAAATGCTATTGGAGCACTTTTCACTGACGAAATTCTGTTTCAAGGAAGTATGGAAGGCAGAGTAAACAAACCTAACGTTACACAGACTTCCTTAGAGTGTACTGGCTTTGTCACTGCGTGGGCTCCCCTATAGTCACAGGGTCTCATGGCAAAATGTGAAATACTGAGATTTTTTTCTCGTTTATGAAAGCAAGCTGTCCTGTTTTTTGTAAGCGTGACTTTGAAATATATTTCAATACAAAGAGGAAAAGTAATAGTTTTTACACACACATGATAACATGCTGCAGGTGGCTCTTATCAAAGTGCCATCTGTTGTACTTCAACCCAAACCACGACCTTTTTCAGAACCTAGCTAAATAGTTTTAACACCTAAATCTTCCCTGACTAGTTTTTAATCAAGAAGATTTATGATCTAAACTTGTGGTAGCAGGTTTGATTAGCTAAATCTAACCAAGTAGTCCAGATTGTTTAAACCTAATCAAATAGTCTAGATCAGGGGTATCAAACTCCAGGCCTTGAGGGCCGGTGTCCTGCAGGTTTTAGATCTCACCCTGGGTCAACACACCTGAATCACACGATTAGTTCATTACCAGGCCTCTGGAGAACTTCAAGACATGTTGAGAAGGTCATTTATCCATTTAAATCAGCTGTGATGGATCAAGGACACATCTAAAACCTGCAGGGACACCGGCCCTCGAGGACTGGGATTGGGGACCCCTGGTCTAAACCTAACCGACTAGTCTGAATTGTCCAAACCTAATTGAAAGGTCAAGACTGTGCTAACCTAGCAAAGTAGTCCACATTATCTAAACCTACCCAAGCAGTTTTGACTGCTTAACCCTAACTAAGTAGAAAAACAGGTCGACAGGAAGGCAGAAAAAGAATACAGCTTTATTAGCCATATTCCAAGTTTAATCCTCGACTCAACCTTGCTTTTTTTCCAGACCCTAAAAAATGGCCTCTGGTATAAGGGGAAAATGAAGTCAAATTGCTCCTCTGTCCTCTAAATTTATACTTTTTCTCCCTTTAAAAGGTTGAAAATATTATTTTCATGTACACAAATGTGACCAGTTACATGACTAATCAAAAGGACTTTTGCTCCAGTTTCCATATATATCTTCAGTTTGTTATCAGATAAAAGTAATTAAAAAAAAAGAAAAAAAAAGAAGTAATGCTCACGAAACGAGGTCAAAATAATTGGCATTTTTGTTTTGAAATTCCCTAAAACTAGGACTGGATAACTGAATCACAGCCTTTTCAGTGTCGCCACTTCTGCTTAACAAAGAGTTTCCACCATGCCGAACACGAACAACTATTCCTGCAGATGCAGCTCACATACAGATGAATATACTCAGAATTGCCTTCATAGTTTGGTTTATGTGATGAGCACAATGAGAACATATATACTATACACAACACAAACAAAACACAAATGCTGTCAGGAAGAGAAAACAAGGAAAAACAGATAAACGATACAGCTTCATTCAACACACTCCCAGTTCGATCCGCAACTCAACCTTGCTTTTCCTCACTAAGACAAAACAGAGATGCAGAGAGCAAAGAGACAGACTGCACAGAGTGGAGAGGCATTTTTTGAATTGAGTAGGACAGAGTGATCAAGAGGGAGCAATTGAATGTGTGAGTGTGAGAGAAAGAAAGAAAGAAAGAAAAAACAGGGAAACAGACAGAGGAGGAGGAGGAGGAGCAGAGAGGGGAGTGTGGCTCTGCACAATAGGCCTAGACATGAATGCTCCTCGACACTCGTTTCCACACATCCCCTTCAATTTCAACTCTCTAATGGAACTAGCGATTCTCGGCACCCACTCACACTGTGCACAAAGGACGGGCGTGTGCGCACACACAGTAACAGTAGCACACACGAGCAGAGAGACACAAACGTTTATGAACATGCGCTGGTAACATACGCGCACACACAAAAAACGCAGGCACATGCGGTGATGGAGTGACTGGAGGGGCTCAGGAGCGTGCACGCTAACACACCGAAGCTCACGCTGGCTCTACCCACACACTGACATTTCTAAAAGATTGCAGACAGCCAATGGGAAAGTACATGAGCTAATGTACACACACGCACGTACGAAGATTGCTGGGTACACACACACAAACACACAACTCCATTTGTGCCTATGAATTTAATCCCTATGAGATAAAGGAGAAAGGTGTGTGCGTTTGCTCAGCATGCATCGCGGTGCCCGTCTTGTGCTTCCAACCTCAGAGTTTGTGTGGGTGCATACAAGTGAAGGTCTTTAAATCATGGAAGCTGCTACTTTCATGTGTGTCTCCATTCGTCAAAGCATGCTCCCTTCTTCCAATATGGCTGTCAGCGCACGCCGTCAATCATACGACAGCGTGCGTGTGCGTTTGTGAGTGTGGATGGGCAATACCAGACGAGGTCATCGATAAGGGTTGGCCCCTTGGAGGCCCATCGCTCTCTCCTCCTGCAGGCTGAGCATAAATTACTCCCCCTGCTGCAGCAACACAAACTGATGTATGGACCACTCCCTCACCCACGCCCTGCCTGATTGAGGGCCTTTTTTTCTCCTCCATTTCAAAATACCTTACTAGTTCTTACAGCACCGTTTTCACTGGATGTAAATATAATGCCATTTTGCCAAGACCTACATCCACATGAAATGACTGCGTGATGCTCAAAATTACTAAAAACAACAAAAAAAATCAACAACAACTGGATTTACACACAGAATTAGGTGACCTCACTCAAATGAGATCCCCAAAGGAAACAGAGATTATGTTTAATAATCACACCAACAGTTCAATAAGCTGTCGGTGCATCACGAGGAATGCACAGCTCCTTTGACACTTTGTATTTTATTCAACTGAATCAATTTTAGACTTCGTCTGCTACAATCCTATGATATTTAGTTGACTAAAACTAAAAGGATTTAGTCCTAATTAGGAATAAAACTAAACGTTTTTTTAATCAAAAGACTATGGCTACAACTAAATCAAAAACTGCTGGGCCAAAGGTGAGGGTAAGAAGGTACATCATGGATGTACTTTCATACTTTATCTTCACCACAACAGCCCAGTACTGCGTCTGCATCACTGTTGACACCGCATTCATCTATCTGTCAGCCTCCTGCTTTCCTCTTCCCTCACTTGTAAACAAGACCCTAAGATATCATCCACTTGAGGTAGCAGCTCGCTCCTGCACCCTGCAGTGGACACGCTGCCCTTTTCTGACTAAGAACCGTGGCTTCGGAGTTTCAGGTGCTAAATTCTCACCCCAGCTGCTTCACACTCGGCTTCCGGAACAAGGTTGATGAGTCCAAAGGAACCACACCATCCGCCAAAAGCAGAGATGAGACTCCTGAGACCATGAACGGAAATCCTAAAAAATCCTTTTTATAAAAATTACTAGACTTATTCTAGTAATGACCATAATTTCCAAACTGAACTTGGTGTTTTAATCAGTGACCTGAAACTAGTGACTGAGCCCATCAGGAAGGTGATCTGATGTCAGACAGCTAGGTAGCCAAGGGCCATTGCCCCATAGACATCTATACTACCAGACATACTTTTGTTAGGAAAGGAGTCGCCCCCTGCTGGCCATTAAAAAAAATGCATGTTTAAAGTACTTCTACATTAGCTTCACTTTCAGATGTTGGCACAAAGTCCATCTTTTATACTGTCTATGGTAAATCTTTGTACCTGTCACTGTTTACTCACCCGTCCCATCAAAAAACAAACAAACACTAAGCTGCTCTCTGAGTATCCATGTCTGTAGCATAATAAGGCTACCACAATACAGCAATGTGGATCTGCCAGTCAAACATCAGTGAGGCACATGCAACAGGTAACTTATGGAGACATTCCCAACCCTGGCAACCAATGCATCTGAGCCAGGTTAAAGAAAAAAGAACCCTGTAATGAAGTGCATAATTCAAGGTTCAGTAAGTATTAAAAAGTATTTTTATCTGCATTGATGAGGTTAGCCAACTGGCACCTCAAAGTCCAGGAAATTCTCCCAGCTGAATCGTCAGTATGAACAACAAGCAACGATACAGGACAGCGAGTCCTTGAGACATTTTTCAATCACATAGTACAAAATGACTCTAGATTATTGGTAAATGTATGATTCATCTGTAAATATTAAAACAAATTGCTCTGAAATTACTACAACTTTTATTTGTGGCTCTCGCAGGTTTATCCATAACACGTATAGAGAGAGAGCACTGCCTGTCAGACAGCTGCTAGCCAGGTTTATAAAATAATTCATTTATGCAGAGGAAAGTAGCTACTTCCTGCTGACAGCACAAAAGCATATTTCACTCAGATTTGGCTTCTTTGGATTTTTTCCTGTAGTATTTAAATCCACATGTCAAAGCTAACTGACAGGAAGAAAAATTCTAAACATTGGTAAAAGCAATAACAAAAAATTAGACTGATAATAACCCTCGGCAGTAGTTACATGACGATGGAGACACCTCAGTTTATAGAAGCATGTTAGAAAGGAAGCCTTAAGCAACATAACACACACAGGAGGTACAATAGAAACTTGATAAACATGCATGCCCCTCAGTTTGAATCCATCACATCCTGCAAGCAGAAAAGGCATCCTCCTGTGTTTCAATTTTCTTCACAAAAGCAATCTTCTGTTTATGATCATACAACAGTTTTACATCCTATGTGATGGGAATAAAAGAGCGAACTTTAAGGAGACTAAATACAGACTTACCTGTTTGTGCATCTCAATGTTGAGCCCGTAGGACATCTCATAGTACTACACAAAGAAGAGGAGGAGAAGAAGAAGAAAAAGCTATAAAAACACAGGCACCGAACTGTTGCCAGAAAAATTGTCTGTGCAGGAGCTCCATGCTAACAATTTATCATGCTCAACTGACTGCATGTGACAAATCACGTTTGAAGCTAATGTGCATTTTGATTGCACCACAATCGGAAATCGCACAAAAATTCTGTTTCTCAGCTGGAACACTCGAAGCATCTTCAGTTTGCTTCGTTGCTTTTTTCCACCAAAAGCAACGAATGCTAATATGATCATAAAAAACATTATACGGGCCTTCTTAAATCCAAGAGATGATTCCCGAAAGGCATCATTACACTGCAGATTAATAAGAACAAGAATTCACATGGGTACAGTAATCTTGAAACACTGCGGAAGACTTTATTCGCCTTTTCATTTTTGCCTTTGTTTTTAAGTAAACAGCTTAATAACAACCTCCAATGTTCTTTGTTCGATGTTATTTGATGTAAAATGATGAGCTGCTGAAACCGAAGCTACGACGGCACATAAAAATAAACCGATCAACTGATTTGCATAATTAATCTGCCAGTTTGTCATTTTATCCTCCTTCTCATGTACACGCCAGCTCCCTCATACAAATGAAATTTGCATGTATGAACTGCCAGAGAATATAAACAGTTGCTTAATTTAAAGGGCGTACTGAAGTTCTGTTTGTCGCTTACAGCTGTTTGTGTGCAGGATGACTTTCATTAATCTCTGCAATCATCACACAGCAGCAGGATCCACATGTGTGCGCACGTGGAACAAGAGACGTTGCCTCATTTATTATTTAGAATTATTAATTATCCAGACAAGTCGATGTGATCGGTAACAGTCCCTTTACTTCTACACTTCAGACATGTTCACGCACACATGCAAAGAGAAGACACAAAGAGGAAGAGAGACTGCGAGAGAAAAGGAGAGACAGAAGAGACCGCTTCTGTTGTGTGTGTGTGTGTGTGTGTGTTCAGTGTTAATGAGAGGGCCACCTTCTAGGCGTCAACCCTGTTAATCACCCACTCTGTCTGCAGGGGGACTGGCTCTGTCACTGGAAAACAAACAACACACAGATCTCTCACTCACACACACATTTTTGTCTCTCGCTTGTTGTCACTCACACACAAACACACACGCACATATGCACGCACACACAGTTGTTTGTGTTCAATTTCACACTGGCTCTCTCTTGTAAGTGAATGCACGTGCACGCACGCACATGCACGCGCACTAAAACATAGCTCCGTAGCTGCTTGTGCCCACGCGGAAGCTCCCTAAAGTAATTACAGCGCTGGGGAAATGGAGGTGCTGCCGCTGGCTGGGGGAGTGGGGCAACCTGATATGCTATTAGAGGAGGAGTGGGGAGGTCGTAGTGGGGATACAAGACTCGGCCTGCCACTGATGGAGTGGAAGTGCGATTGAAAGTGCGCGTATGTGTGTGTGCGTGGCTGACTGTGTGTGCGTTCGAGTCAGAGTGGGCGAAGGAGGCTGTTTTGGCAATACTGCATTCACAATTCAATTTTACAGGTTTTATTTCAGCTGAATGTGAAGATGGCTGCACAATTACATCAGCATGTATCCAATAAGGGCTGTGCACATATTAAAAAAGACAAATGGTAAGCAAATGGTAACAAACGTGTAATTTATCTCAGTTAATCCAATACAGCGGATCTACAGAGGGGTGATAAAGTGAAGGAAATATCTCAACACTTGACCTCTACAAACGAGGAGATCCAGTAATTATTTTGGGGCAGGTGTCCCCTTGGAGGAAAGAGCAACTGCAAATCAATACAAATCCCTTCTGAGGCATCACCTTTATCCTATAATGAAAATTTTCCATACTGATGGGAGTGGTGTCTTGGCAAGTGATGCCAATTCTTCATCAACTCTTTCCCCATAAAAACCTTTTTTCCAAGGGTTGCTCCAGTAAGCTATACAGGCAGAGATCACTCTCACTAACTAACTTTTGATGCACAACCAGTCATTTTGATCTAAAGCAGTCATGGGGGAAAGAGTTAAAAAGGTAAAGAATGCTTTAAATAATTAAGAAAATGTGATTCTTTTGGAAAAGCATGATTACTTCCCTCCAGTAGAGATCCAGAGGCTTGTGAAATAAATGCCAAGACACTCCAAAGCTGTTCTGGCAGCACGTGGTAGTCCCACTCCTCACTAAAGCCGTTTTCACATAAAAACTCCGGAACTTTTGGCAGAATCAGGTCAGGGCATCATCTGCTCTCCTTTCTCACATGTATCGATGGTGCAGCGGTTAGTACTGTCACCTCAGAGTAAGACGATCCTGTGTGAAGTTTGCGTGTAAACCCTGTATGTGCTTCCTCTCAAAGACATCCATGTTAGCTTGACTGCTTTCTTGCATTTGTGCAGAACAATCCTGTGTAAGAGTGATGTGGAAAAACTAGTTTAGAGTTTATTGGCTGGACTATTGTAATTCATTATTATCAGGTTGTCCTAAAACATCCTTAAGAAACCTCCAGTTCATTTAAAATGCTGAAGCGAGAGTACTGGCAGGGACTAGGAAGAAGGAGCATATTTCTCCCATATTGGATTTTCTTCATTGTTAAATCCAAAGTCAAATTTTAAATTCTTCTCCTCACATTTTGGATAATCAGTCCCCATCTTATCTTAAAGACCTCATAGTGCCATATCACCCCAATATAGCACTTCAGTCTCAGCCTGCTGGTTTACTTGTGGTTTTGAGGGTACTTATAAGTAGAATGGGAGCCTTCAACTTTCATCACATTTCCTATGATGGCTTATTTCTTCTAAACACACCTCTTATAAATATGTGTTGCACACCACTTTGTATTTAAAGGTGGCTGTCCCTGCCTGAGCTCGCCGGAGGTTTCTTCCATTAAAAGGGTGTTTTTCCTTCCCACTGTCGCCAAGTGTCAGCTGATTGTTGGGGTTTTCTCTCTATTGCTGTAGGATCTTTACCTTACAATATGAAACACCTTGAGACGACTTCTGATTTTGCCCTCTCTAAATTAAATTAAACTGAACTGAAATTAAACGTGGCTGCCAGTCTAAAGCACAGCTGGCGAAAGTGATCCATGTTCTCACTTCTTGAAATGAGGCTGCTGCCTGAGCGAAGTGCAGGAAAATGGCACAGATCCGATTTAATCTATAGGGAGAACACATATAATATTGATTAATTTAGATGCAGCAAAGAAGGAGCTGGTGGAATTGAATGTGTGAGATGATCAGCTGGGATTGCAGATACAGTAAGTTGGCCTACCTGCTAGCCTCAATACTGTGGCTTTTTTTAAAACTGTCACAGATCTCTAGACAACATTTTATTTCTTCTTTTAAATCTGTAACAGGGTTGGACGTAAACTATTTATTTATTTGCTGGCTGCCTTTTTTTTTTTTTTTTTTTTT